TATATATATATATGTGTGTGTGTGTGTATATATATATATATATATATATAATATAAATATATATATACATATCTATTATATATATATATATATATATATTATCATGTAGTTCTCCAACTGACGAACCATACCCACACACTGCACCCCCATGCCAGTCTCACACATACGCTGTCATGAACTTCAGCTGGTTGCGTTCGCGAATAGCACCGATGAACATGCTGTGTCGCTTAGAGTCCTGTTTGCCATTCTTGATGTCTTTGAGTTCGGATCGGTAGCCCTTCATCTGCTCGAGTATCTTCTGCCACTCTTCATCTCTGTAAAACGTAAATTTTCCAGAGACAGATAGAGAGAGAGATAGTTGATTAGTATCCGTTTACAAGTACTTCTACATCGCTGAGGTCGACCCTGTCGCTCTCCTGCTCCTGTGTGCTATTGATACGGTGCGTGTCTGTGTGTTCGCAGTACAGTTGCCTAAATCAACTCAAGAAGCACACCACCCACATTTACATTATATACACATACACACATTGCATATACACACATCCATAATACATATTCGCGTTGATATATAGCACCCACATTTATGTTATATACACATGCACACATTACACATTACACTTGGACACATCCACGATACACTATAGCATTCCTATACCACACACATTCACTTTATATACACATACACATATTGCATATACACACATCCACAATACACAATAGTGTTCATATACCACCCATATGTACGTTCCACACACTTACACACGTTGCACATACAAACATCAACAATATACAATGGCTTTCATATATCACCCTATACGTTAGTTACATACACATACACGTACACACATTGCCCATACACACATCCACAATTCACACTGCCATCATACACCCACCTATACGTTACATACACATACACAAATTGCACACACACACACCCACACTACACGCTCCCATCCATACACCATCCACATATACGTTATATACACATACACACATTGGACACCCACACACCCACACTACACGCTCCCATCCATACACCACCCACATACTCGTCATCATCCTCATCCACATCGCTGAGCCCGTCACTGTCGCTCGCCTGCTCGTGTGTGTTGTTGATACGGCTCGTGTCTGTGTGTTCGTGGTACAGTTCATTGAACTCGGTGTCGTCAATGTCACTCAAGCCCTCGTCATCGTCCGAGTGGCCCTGTTCACTGTCTGAGTGTGAGAGCTGGTTCTTCTTGCCTTTAGCGTATGCGCTGGTGCTGGTGTTCATTACGCCTGTGCTGGTGTCTGAGAGAGTAGGAGGGAGGGTGTTGAGAGCGATGGGTAGGTACGCTATAGTAACGGATTTGTATGTATATGTAAAGTGATGATACGAGAATACCGGTTCAGTGTGTAGGGGGAGTGCTCCGTACTGCCCCTATCCGTGCCATTGAATGCACTATGCGTGCATGCACCTCGACCACAAACTCTAAACCCAAAACCCTAAAAACGGTTACCCAATTGAATCGCCAACACTAATGAAATCCGATGGTCATAGAAATCACAATTATTGTGCACATTTACCATATCAGCCAGTCTGCTATTAGCACAGATACCTACCTTTACACAGGTTTAACGTATGCATAAGAATCGCCCCTTATAAACCCAGCCCTCTGCACACACGTGTAATCCCGCACCATAGCGAGCGTACTCAGATGTGATGTGGTGTGGTGTGCATGTATCTCATGCAAACAGTCATACCCGCTGCTTTATCATCCTTATCCATATCCACCATGACCTTCTCATCTAAGTCGGCTATCGTCTTTATTCCCTTCCTGCCAGTCCCGGGATTGGCAGCCAGCAGTTTCTCCACACCCGACTTCTCCTTGGCCAACGATGATCTTATGTTCCTAGCGCTTCTCCTCGCACTCACAGCTGTCTTACTCTTACCCGCCTTATCCATACCTCCCTTATTTGTACCCGTGCTGGTTTTCTTAACACTCTGCGAGGCACTCGCTGCGGACCCAGCCCTCGCCTTCTTCCTCTTCGGTCTCTTGCCATTGTGGTCGGCGTCACTGTCTGTGTCACTGTCAACATCTGACACGTGTGTGACTGTGGCTGTGGCTTTGGCTGCCCGTGTGGTTGCTTTGCCCTTTCTGCAATGTATAATAGAGTTTCGGTATATGTGAGGTGTGTACGTATGGACCGAACAATTGATAACCCTGGACTACAAGGCTGGTAAGAACAGGTGGCATGGTATGATACTTTGACGCCTGATTCCACGTGCGAGAGATAGGCACGTCCCGTTTCGATGCAAATTCGTATGGGAGTGTCCGACACTATGGTCGAGTACACGCCATTATAGTATGACACCAAATGTGTCGTGTTAGATATGGTCGACCGTGTGAGAGATGAATCATAGTGATACCACATGTGTTGTATTAGTTCTGGTATATCGTTTGAGAGATGAATCACTGCACCACCAAGCAGATACAAATCCACTAGTAGCGGAAAGTAGCCGTAGTAATATCGCCCTGCATATGCACACACACACCCGTGGGGTAGACGGTACGAATGTATAGGCACACATCGCAACCAACACACCGAGTACATCCATGTGCAGTGGCATGTGTACACACCGAGTATATCAACGTGCAGTGACATGTGTATGTATATGCATGTGCACGAGCGTAGATTTATGTAAAGGAGACATTCCCACGTTAAAATCCATTCACACAGAGCGAGAGAGGCAGTCCCGGACACAACAGGGAATGCTCTGTAGTGACAGGCAACTGGCTGAACAATGACTACTATCTATTGTGCACATCATTCTTGTAAGTTTTAAACATGAGAAAAAAACTAGTCACTATGCAATTCGAATCCATATACGATATAGACGTACCTCCCAGGCATTTTAGTCTCAACCGCCTTTGTACCAAACAGTGTAGTTTGCCTCAACACCTTACCCTTGCCCTGAGCTGGATTTGAAAAATAGCCGTGAATCAGTATATACTACCAGGTATATA